TATGATAATATCGTAATTGTTGTTTAAACAATATGCGATTTGACATTGTCGAGTATATCGCAAAAACACCCAGAGAGTGCTAGCGCAGTGGTTCCCAACCCTGGTCCTGGAGGCACCACAACACTGCACGTTTTGCATGTCTCCTTAATCAAACACACCTGATTCAGGTCATCAGCTCATTAGTAGAGACTTCAAGACCTGAAACTGGTGTGTCAGAGAAAGGAGACATGCAAAATGTGCAGTGTTGGGGTGCCTCCAGGACCAGGGTTGGGAACCACTGTGCTAGCATACAGTACACGTGAGATGCAGGTCAGACTACTGCGTGTGCGCATTTAGAGTTCACACTTTCACTGCATGATTTAGTCTATTAAAATACATTTAGAATTACCCCAAAATTCAAGATAAATTCATATACTATACATCTGATATAGTCAATATCACACGAACAGTACAGTTTTTTTTTCTCCAAATATCAGCATGATTGCAAATGTGATATTGATTTTATAAAACAGTCCAATAAACAAAAAGTTAGACACAACAGTTCCTGTTTTTGCACTATTTTGTCAACGTAAATAGTTCCAATCAAAGCCAAAGCAGAACTGTTTTGCATCTCTGAGCAACACACAATGGTGTTTCATTACTGAATCAATCAGCTGTTTGAACGAATTGGTGGAATGAATGACTCAATGACTCACTCATGCAGTGACTTGCCACCTTTTCTGTAACATCAGAACATTATTTATGCATTTGTAACTGCAGGTTAAATGCGTTCATGTCCTGCATTATACAGACTGTGTGAATGCATCTAAATGGCACTTCAGATGCAGTTTCTGTGCCACCTCTGTATTGCAAACACAAATTTTATTTGATTGGCAACAGCCCTATAGTGTATTACTATTTGAATTTCTTGATTAAATTTAAGAATTTGACACACAAGATGATGCATACATTTGATTAGGTTAGAAAAATGGCCTTATAAACGTAAAAATGCCCATAATAGATAAAAATAAATTTAAACTTAAACCTGCCAAAATACCAGCACAATAACCCACTCCGCAAAATATTGTCTAATTACCATTATTGACAAAATTCCAAAAAATATTGAGATATGTTTTTTTTTTTTTGTCATTTTCGCACACCTCGCATATTTTATTGTATTGTTCATATGTTAAGCTTTTCAGTTACAGCACAATAATAGCCTGACATGAATTGGATGCATATAGCTGCTCTGCTATATAGAGGGCCTTTACATTGAGACCTTTAGATGATAAAATGTGTTTTATCTTGTAATCAAGTCATCATCAGTTTCCTGGCCAACCCCCCATAATTTAAAGTCTCCCTCTGTGTCGTGGTATGTGGAGTGAGGATGTCAGGCTGGATTTGGCGGCACTGATGGGATGGTTCTGCTGTAACCTGGGCTCCCTGGGCTGAGCAGGCGGGGAACTGCGGTACGTCCTTGATGAAGAACTCCGCTGCGACACAGCCTGTCCCTTTGACTCACGCTGAGCGCTTGATACTCGGGACGAGGAGGTCAGCCTGACCCACTTTCCCCTGCCCTTCTGCGCTGCGACACAGCCTGTCCCTTTGACTCACGCTGAGCGCTTGATACTCGGGACGAGGAGGTCAGCCTGACCCACTTTCCCCCGCCTGCCCTTCTGTCATGTTGGGAGAGGTGGGCGAGAGGCCAGGGGAGAGTGGGCAGATGGGTGTGCTGACTGTCAGCGAGCCCGTTTGCACGGGGGGTTACAAGAGAGCGCTCCCGCTGTGGAACATCTCATCCCCCTGAGACAGTAATGGACAGGCACTCCCACAGAGCTCAGTGTCTGGCCCTTTTAATGTAGCTCCTCATCCTCGATGACTCCTACAGCTCTCTTCCTCCTCCTCTTCATCACTTCACTGCATTTCGGTGCTTCTGAGCTCCAGCTGTAATCTATGCAATCAAGCATAAGACATTCAGCAGTGTTAGCTGCTCATCATTTCATGTGTTCTGGAATATTTTTACACTCTAGAAGTCCTTTGTTATGTTCAAGAGTGACCTGCTAACCATTGGTTTTACATGTGCATGTAAAGATGCTGTCAGACAGGACTTGCCTGTTAACATGTAGTGATATATAAGACAGACACAAGTCATCAAAAAGTAAAATTAATTTTCCAGGTTGAACGCAGGGTCAAAAAATGGGTGTTTCATATGTAGTTCACTGACAAGCAGGCCTCTCTGCTGAATTTAGACAGGTTACATGTCCTACCTTAAATGTGCAAAGATAGAAGGCATAGTAGCACTTCATGTTGTCATGAATAATCATATAGTCGACACGAAAAAGCATTTGCAACCCATGTGGAATACATGATTCATGGAGAAAAATGGAAGGCGTTTTTTATCTTTTTGGAATTGATTATATTGTGAAAAGTAAACTTTGTTGTTGTTGAAAAATGATTTGATTTTAAATGTAATTGTCTATTTAGTAAATAGTAAATAAAATAAATATTAAATTTAAATATTTTATTACAGCAGTGCCATATTTAGTCATTTACTATTATTGTTATTATTGTTGTTAATATTAGTAGTAGTATATTTTTATTGTTTTATTTTATTCAATATTATAAACTTGCATGTCGTAAATTATGTAGGCCTTTGTATTTGTATATAAAATATGGAATGCATATATTTATCATTTAAATATTTGTAATAAAATGTCATCTAATAAGAAATCTTATATTTTTCATTATTAATATGTTAATTATTGTTACCATTGTATGACATATGAAATGCATATATTTATTATTTAAGTATTTATATTAAAATATCTATTATATATGTGATATAATGTAGAGGTCTTAATATATTAAAAGGAAAAAATCACTTAAAGGATGTTTTATAGCAAAACCCTGTTGGTCATGTATGGCATGCTGCTAATGTTCATAATATGCATTGGATTTGGTAGATTTCACTGTACAATGTCCATCTGATAAAGAGTGGGCTTTTACACTCATAAGCTGTCACACCGTGACTTCTTTTGGTCATTCCTTTCTTTTCCTTTCTTTCTTTCTTTCTTTCTTTCTT